ATATATATATATATAGTGTTTAAAAATGTATTTCATAGAGGGTCTCACTACACAGCTTGGACTTGTAATGATCCTCCTGTTTTCAGCCTCCCCAGCACTGTTATAACAAGTATGCGCCATCACGACCAGCCTGAGTGGCTGACTCAGAGTGCCTGGGGGCAGGGCCGGCACAGCATGTGTTGCTGGGGATCAAACCCTGGTCCGTGCACTTGCCTAAGCAGGTGCTTAGTTCGCTGAGCTATCTCGCCAGCCCCTACAACGCATTCTATACCTGAGAAAAAGGAATCTGTGACTTGCTTAGAGTCATAAGTTGGAAAGGCAGCTCTAGGACTCAAACCCAGATTTTAACAACCCAGACTTAACCATTGTGCCACATCAAATCTGTATCCAAATAGACTAAACTGGAGTCTTTTAGGGATTGCCAAATAGCTCAGCAGATTAAAGCACCTGCAAGCAGGCTCAGGGGCCTGGGGTTTGGTCCCTGGGCCTGCCATGCTGCCTCACTCCCGGGGTGCATTGAGACTGGGATTGAGACTGAGCATGGTGGCACACACCTGTAATCCCAGCTCTTGGGAGGCTGTAAGCAGGCAGATCACTACAAGTCCAATCTAGTAGTGAGACCCTGAACACCCTGTAAATCCTCCCTGCCCCACCCAAAAAAAAACCCCAAAAAACAAAACAAAACAAAAAAAAAACCCCTGGAGACTTTTAAACATATTGGTAAAGTTTGTGAATCTTACTTAAATAAAGTATAGTGGGCTGGGTGTGGTGGTGCACACCTGCAATCCCAGCATTCAGAAGGCTGAGGCAATAGAACTGCCACATGTTTGAGACCGACCTGAGCTACATAGTTCAAGGTCAGTCTGAAGTGCACAGCGAGAGCCTGTCTCAGTGGAACTTCTATATGAACTAAAAGGTGATTTCAGATTCAAAGCCAGGAGAGCACCCTTAGGGCTCCAGGGAATACAGTTTGAAAACCACTCAGAGCTGGACGTGGTGGCACATTTGTGTGATACAGCCCAGGTGGGGGTGGGGGCTGGGGCAAGAAGATTCCTGTGAGTTCAAGGCCAGTCTGAGCTACATAATGAGTTCAAGATCAGCCTGAGCTGCATAGTGAGACTGTCTCAAAAAACAAAAACAAAACAACCAATCAGCTCTTCACACAACCCCTTTATGCCTGATGGCCTTGGGTTTAAGGGTTTAAAATTCTTTTTTTTTTTTTTAAATTTTTATTTATTTATTTGAGAGCGAGAGAGACAGAGACAGAGAGAGACAGAGAGAGAGTGAGTGTGTGTGGTGTGTGTGTGTGGCCAGCTCAGCCCACCAGGGGGCAGGGCTGGCTGGCATGTGGTGCTGGGGGATCGAACCGCGGTCCCTGATGCTTTGCTAAGCTTGTTCTAAGTAGGTGCTTTAGACCACTGAGCCATCTCTCCAGCCCTTAAAATTCTAAGAGGGTCTCTGATAGGACTAAACAAGAAAAGGGGATACAAAGGAAGCACCATTTTGTATTTGCATATACAGAATATTAGGGTAGATATACAGCTACTTTCGCTTAATTCAATGAGAAGAAAGATTTGTAGTAATAGTGTTTGGATAGGATATCCTGTCAGCTTCTTATACTATGGATAACCACTAAGAAGATAACAATGTACAATGTATTAATTATTGAAAATGTCCTATTAATCAGCTTTGAAACTCTCATTGATATTTGTTTCTCAATAAAATAATTTTTTTTTTTTTTTTTTGCGGTACTGGTGATTGAACTCAGGACCTTGCGCTTGCCAGGGAAGCACTTATTCCACTGAGCCATCTCCCCGGCCCTAATAAAATAAAATTTTTTAAAAATCCCCCCAAAAATTGTTTTTCAGTTGTTTTGCTTTTTTTTTTTTTTTTTTTTTTTTTTCCGGAACCAGGGATTGAACTCAGGCTCTTGCACTTGCCAGGGAAGCACTTATTCCACTGAGCCATGTCCCTGGCCCCCCATCAGTTGTTTTGCATTCTGTCCTTCCGACTACATTTTCAGAGTCCTGTGTATAGATTCTCTATGATGAGTGCGATCAATATGTATGTCTAAAATGTACCAATAAAATCTGATTATAAAAGAAAAAAAAATTCTAAGAGGGGAGGGCTCTGGGTCTCCGAATTTTAAAAGGTAGTTGGCAGCAAGAGGCTTTGGCCCTCCAGAGAGTACAGTTCAGAAATTTGGGGTGAGGTCTGAGCCCCAAAGCCCAGGCAGACTGTGGCCAGTAGTCTGAGCTGCGAGCAGCTGTTGCCTATTTAGCTCACCTGTGCCCCTTTCCTGCTCCCCAGAGCTTGGGGACAGGTGCCCTTACTTGTCACCTAGAGCTACTAAAATAGAGATGGGGTGGGGGAGTGGGGAGAGAGGTTCTGGCAGGTGAAGAGAGTAAGGTGGTCTGGGGCACTCAGGCCTGCAACCCAAGAGGTCTACTATCTCCATGCCACCTTTCCCCAATGCCGTGCCCCTCCGAGAGTGGAGGAAGGCCTCACAGGGCAACTAGGAGAGGGACATGATGCACCAGCACGGCTGAATTCTGCCTGGCCTCATGGCTGCAGCTACTAGGCCAGGAGCCCCAGGGCCTCCCCACCTCAGGCTGCAGCAGAGCCCCTTAAATCATAGACCTGGGCACCCTCCCCAGGCCCCAGTGTGACACCTGGCTTACCTTGAGGCACAGGCTGATGGTTGGAAGTGAGGCGTGCTGGCCTACCCAGTGGCCCAGCCACCCGCCTGGCCCCTTACAGGGGCCTGCAGCATGGCACCTGGAGACACAAAGGCGGCAGGGCAGGAAACCCAAGCTGAGAGGACATCAATCATTCATGGGGCTACTCTCTGGGAAACCCTAACCCTGGCCAGGAGGGCCAAGTGACCAGCCAGGGCCCTGCATGCTCATGGTCAGATAGCAGAGCCCCCTCACATGGGGTCCATCCAGTTCAGGATTATATGCTCCCCAGGGTCCACTTCCTCTGCCATCACCCCTCACACCTCAGTTGGCATTTGCGACCTTTGTATAGTGGCCTCCTCCTACCTTGAAGGCCCTTTGCCCCATCCAGGATGTCACCCCCCGGGGAAGCAGGTGATAGGCTATAAGAAATCGACATTCATACCCTGCCTGAGAAGTCTTTGTCAGTGCCCTGTACTCAGCTGAGTCCTGCCTGTCACACAGCTGGGTTGAGTGTTCAACTCTTCACAACCGTTTTCCTTCTTATAGATGAGAAAACTGAAACTCAAGAGAAGTGACTGGACATCCCAGCTAAGAAATGGCCAAGCTGGAGTCTGAAGCTCATGGCAGCCACAGAGTTCGGCATCCTTTACTGCTGAGGACAGTTTTGGTGACCCATCTGGCTCTGTCCTGGCCACCCAGGGCAGAGGGCAGGGATTAGGCCCTGGGCTGCCTACCTCACTTACCCTAATCCCTCTCAAGGCCTGATCCCAGGCAGTAACCTCAAAGACTGGGCACATAAGCAGCTTTGTGGCTCCTGAGGGCCAAAGATACTCAGGGGAGCAGGGTTCTCGAGTCTAGCTGTCTCTCCTCACATGGCCACAGAGCACAGCCCAGACTCAGGCACCAACTCCCAGAAGCCCCCTGGAGAGGTTATGACTCCAGGTAGTGGTGCTGAGGGGCCCTCTTTGACCAGGAGAAGGAGCAAGAGGGCAAAGCATCCCCGAGGGTCTAGGAAGGGCAGCGCTGGGGAGCAAACACCTGTCCAGGACCCTGAGGCCCCAGGGGGCAGCAGAAAACCTTCAAGGACCGAAGAAAAGAAAGAAGAGCCATCCCCCGGGCCCCCCAGGCCAGCCTCTCACTGCCAGTCCCACCGGCGGCGACGGCGTCATTCTGACTCCCAGCAGGATGCTGCTCAGAGGGCATATGGGCCCCTGCTCAACCGAATGTTTGGGAAGGTCAGGGGAAGCCTGGGCTGGGCGGGGGTGGGGGTGGGGTGGATTCCTACCCGAGTCTCAGCCCTCTTGCCCCGAAGTACCTGGGTCCTCTGCCCCTTCTGGCCCAGTCTGGGGGAGCCTGAGCTGTGGGGGGCGGGGGGCTTAGGCCATGCTGCATAGTGGGCAGAGGGGGACCTCACACAGGACTCTGAGAGCTCACCCAAGGCTCCAGAAGCACCAAGGAAGCTCTCTCCTGGGGGTGGGCGTGGGTTTTGCCTGCTCTGATAGAGCTGGCCCTGTGCAGGCCAGACTAGGCAGGGGCTGGAGGAGGAAGGACAGAGCTGTGCCTAGTGTTAGTGACATACTAGACTGTCTCCCTGCAGGATCGTGAGCTGGGCCCGGAGGAGCTGGAGGGTGAGTGGCTGTCGGTGCTGCCGGGGGCTTGCAGGTATCCCTGGACCTGGCCACCTGGCCTGACTTTTCTCCTCTGCAGAGTTGCAGGCTGCCTTCGAGGAGTTTGACACTGATCAGGATGGCTACATTGGCTACCGGGAGCTGGGTGACTGCATGCGGACACTGGGCTACATGCCCACAGAGATGGAGCTCCTCGAGGTCTCGCAGCACGTAAAGATGCGCAGTTAGTGATGAGCCCTGCAGGGTGGCTGGGGTGGGAGAGGCCCATCTTTGCAGGGTGGGGTTGGGACAGTCTGGCCCTTGTCCTTTCAGTGGTGCCTGGGCACCATTTGGTTCAGGGGGCTCACTAAGTGATGGCAAGAGGGGATCTCTAGGAGTCTTTTAGCAGTGATGGCGTAAATAAGAGACAGTGACAATTTGGGGGAGTACTGGCAGGAAGACTGGTCCCATCAGATGCAGGGATAGCAGATCTAAGCTCCAGGCTGTTGATGTGGTGAGGTGGGCGAGGAAGATGCAGAGGTGACCCTTGAGCTTGGGTTACGGACCTGGCCTTGGAAAATGGGTCTAGCCTCTGCAGACCCTCAGCCCCTCTACCTGCCTCTCTGGATGCAGCCTCCGACTCACCTCTAACTCCATGCTGAAGGGCTGTCCCTCTCCTCTCATTGTGCCTCTCTCCCTATACCCTGGTGGCACTTGCCTTGACCAGAGTCATATGAATCCAATCTGCAGAGGCTCAGTGAGGCCTGGACGACAGGACCCTGGCCTAAGTGCTAAGCAGCTATTCCATGGTTACCAATGACTAGTTTGTCCTGCGGCAGATATCATCTTCCCTTCCTTCTGGGATGCCAATGGCTTTTCTCACAATTTCTAAAATGGACCCAAAGTACAGTTGCTGTGGCTATTTGGTGTTGGGCTCCTTTTCTCCCCCCGCCCCCCGCAGCTGCTCTCTGGCCACTGGAGCCTTACAGGCTGACCACCTGGGCCATGTCTGAAGGGCCATTCCTGCTCCCTGCTGGGCCATGAACTCTCACCCCATACTAGGATGAGCAAGGGAGGTTGATAAGCTGACTAAGGTCACTTGTGTCCTGCCATCTGAGCCAGGATTTGAGCCTGGGCTGTCTGTTGTGAAGCCTGGCCTCTTTCTCCCATGCCTGGTCTTTTGCTGAGAGCAGGACAATCCTTAGCACCTCCTAGCAGACCTGGGTTTGAGACTTGAGGCCCCCCCCCCCCGTGGGTGGGGTCAAGGGTGCATCTTCCTGGATGCAGAGCATAGTGGGTGGAAGGGTGAGTTGCCTTCATCTGTGACATCCCTCCCTGGGTCCACAGTGGGTGGCTTTGTGGATTTCGAGGAGTTCGTGGAGCTGATAGGCCCAAAGCTGAGGGAGGAGACAGCACACATGCTGGGGGTGCGGGAGCTGCGCATTGCCTTCCGAGAGGTGCGGTGCTTGATGGGGGTGGGCAGTGGGTGGCAGGGCTGGAGAGCGAGTGTCTTTACTGGGAGCCTGGGCCCTCTGCCTTTAGGAGCCCTGGGGATGGGCAGAAAGAGTTCAGCTCCAACCCAGTTGGGTGCACCAACCAGGGCCACTTCTGGAGCAGGAGATACCATTTTGGCATGGGAGGATGGGGAAGGCTGAGGTGGGTTGTGACAGGGTGGGGGTAGGGAGGATCTTGCCTGTAGACAGTGAGTGTTGAGAACGGGGCTGCGTACTGAGGTGACTTGGGGTAGGAGGGGCTGAGCCCTGCCTGGTTCCTAGTTTGACAGGGACAGGGATGGAAGAATCACTGTGGCAGAGCTGCGGCAGGCAGCACCAGCTCTGCTGGGGGAACCACTGGAGGGGACCGAGCTCGATGAGATGCTCCGAGACATAGACCTCAATGGGGATGGCACCATAGACTTTGACGGTGAGTCTGCTCCTTTGCCTCTTCTTATCCCTCCGACACTTCCTGGGATCCCTGACCAGGACTGGCCCAACCTTTGTCCCTCTCTTCCCAGAGTTTGTGATGATGTTGTCCACCCACTGAAGGACCAGCAGGGAGACCCTGTTGCCCAAGATACCATCAAGACCAGGCTGCATTCATGGGGGCTCCAGGAAGGCAGAAACCTAGCCCCTAGAGTACTTCTGCCAGGCTGGATCTTGCTCTGGAATCTGTCTGTGAGGTCATCCTTTCTTGCCACCCACTGCTTGAGCAGCCTGGAGAAAATTGATGCTCAAGTGCCCACCAGTCCCCATTGTGAGCAAGAACTGGATCTCTGTACCTTTGGGAGGTGGAGAGTCCCCTGGTGCTGGTGGCATTCAAACAGGAGCAATTTGGGGAGGATCCATAGAAATGAAGTGAATGGAGAGGGTGGTCTCCTCCTACTTAGGCATAGAATTTTTAAAGAGTGAACTTGAAAATAGAAAAAATTAAAAAATAAAAGAACAAAACAAAGAAGTGAACTTGAAAGGGATGAGCCTAGGCCCCAAAGACCAAAGCTGGTGTTGTAGGAGGGAGCTGACCCCATGGGGGTTTCAGATTGGGAGAAAGGCTTGGAGGTCCAGGAGGCCCATAGTTCCAGAGTCTAGGTGATAAGAAATTAATCTCTGATCCATTTCAGAGTCTCAGAGCGCTACCCTGTTCCTGGAAAGGGGATGAAAAATACATTCCCACCAACCAACCTGAGAAGGTAGAGGGAGCAGATTTTAGGGTCCTCAGTGGAAACAAATCCTAAGATGAAAAAAAGGTAGAGGGGAAAGGATGCTTTAAGCATGTGGAAATCTTTTTTTGTTGTCCTAAAGAAAGATAGGTTGATTAACTATAGACTTCACTGGCCATCTAAAAGTAACCATTAATGGCCAGGCATGATGGTGCACACCTATAATCCCAGCACTACAAGGCTGAGACAGAAAGATTGCTCTGTTTGAGGTCAGCTTGGGCTACAAAGCGAGTTCAATGCCAGCCTGAGCTACAAAGCGAGACTGTCTAAGAAAAAATAATCATCTGGACTTGGCAGCATAAACCCGTAATACCAGCACTCTGGGAAGCTGAGGCAGAAGGATTATAAATTTGAACACATTTCAGGCAATTTAGAGACTTAGTGAGACTGCCTCAAAAATTGAAACAAAGAAAGAAAGCAAGCCTGGGTATGTAGCTTGGGGAGAAGGTCCTGGGTTTCCAGAGTCCAAAAACAAATCCAGTTAAATCCAGTGTGCCTGTAATCCAAGCTCTCAGGAAACTGAGGTCGGACTGCCTGGAGTTTGAGGCCAACCTAACTACAAAGTAAGCTCCTATCTCAAACAAAACAAAACAAACCCCACAAGAAACAAAAAGAAGTCAGTTCTAGTCCAAAAATAAAGTATTTTTATTAGGTTGTATTTCTTGAAACAGGCACCAAAACAAAACGAACAATACCCTTACCAGAATAGAAAGTCGTTTCTGCAGTAAGTCTATATGTGGAGTATACATCCTTCAAGGACTCAAATTACTGGTCACCTGTCCTGCCTTCATAACATAGGCCCACATTTGTTTGTTTTCCTGGAGGCAGGATGGAGGTCAATGAAAAGAATAAAAGGATAGAGCATGAACCACTTATTTCCACTAAGTAGGAAGCATCACAAGGTCTATCTGCTTGCCCAGGATGCTGAGAAATGTAGTCTTAGTTGGGTGGTCATGTGTCCAGACACGCCAGAGGTTCTCCTTCTACAAGGGCAGACACAGAAGGGCACACATGTGTGCTTCAGAGTTGAGTCTAGGATACACGAGACACACTCAAAGCATAAATGGCCACTAGAAGGCTGAGGGTGATGGGTTGGAAAGGAGACGTACAGAAAATTAATCAGAAGAAAGACGGCACAGTGAGACATAGTGGTGCATGGCTATGATTCCAGAATTTGGGAGGGTGAAGTGGGAGGATCTCGAGTTTAAGACCTGGCTGGCCTACGTAGTTGGACCCTGTCACAAAACAAAACAGTAAGTCACAGGGCTGGGGATTTAGCTCACTGGTATGGCACTTGCCTGACAAGTACAAGTTCCTGAGTTTGATTTCTAGTACCCATTCCCCCAAAGTGAGTCACAATTCACTCAGGAAATTTATAGTCTTTTCCACTTCCTGTCCCTTTTCTCCCTCCCCCTCCTCTGTCTTCTTGAGACAGAAGGATCCTACTATATCGTTCTACCTGGTCTTGAACTCAAGATCCTTCTGCTTTAGCTGCTAGATTGCTAAGATTCACTACTACACCCAGGTTATATGTTCCTATTAATATATCTTCAAGCTAAGATATATGCAATATACTACATATACAATATGGATTTAGGGGCTGGTGAGATGGCTCAGTGGTCTAAAGCACCTACTTAGAACAAGCTTGGCAAAGCACAGGGACCACAGTTCAATCCCCCAGCACCACATGCCAGCCAGCTGGCCACACACACACACACACACACACACACACATAAATAAATAAGTTGAAAAAAATATATAGATTTAGTGTTCAGATCTTTATTTTCTGAGAAATGTTGCTGTCAATCTCAGATTTGGGTTAGATAAAGTGATGAAAAAAATTCAAACTGTGGGCTGCAATGTAGCCGAGTTGTAGAGTGCTTGCCTAGCAGGTGGAAGGCCTGGGTTCAATTTCTAGTGCGCACACACACACACACACACACACACACACACACACACACACAGTCAAAATCAAGCATTTAAATTGAAGTACTGAGCTGGATATGATGGTGATGCATACCTGTAATCCCAGATACTTGGGAGACTGAGGTCAGAGGATGGCAAATTCAAGACCAGCCTGGACAATTTAGGGACCCTGTCTCAAAATTTCCAAAAGCTAAAAAAAAAAAAAAAAAAAAAGCTAGGATTATAGTTTAGTGTAAAAGCCCTGAGTTCAGTCTCCACTGCTGCCTCCCTTCCCCACTGAACTTGCTGAACATGGCAGCACACACCTGGAATCCTGGTTCTCTGCAAGGCTGAGGCCAGATTAGAAATTTAAGCCCAGTGCAGGCAATTTAGCAATTTAACGAGACCCTGTCTCAAAATTAAAAAAGCTGGGAATGTAGCTCAGTAGGAGGACCTTGGGTTTAATCTTAGTACTGAGCTAAAAAAAAAAACAAAACCCAAAACAAAAAACTAACAAACAAAAAAAAAAACTATAGGGGGCTAGCGATGTAATTTAGTGCTCACTGGACTCAGTCCGCAGTACCATAAAAACAACAAAACAACTAAAAACAAAACCCTAAATACTTCGTAAGTGTTGATATCTCGAGTGGACAACTAGATTGGGAAACTTTTTTTTTCCTGGCAGAGAGCCAGAAAGTAAATAGTTGAGGCTTTGGGGATCCCGTTGGGGTCCATATGGGATGTGTAGTGACTGTTCACTCAAATCTGCAGTCACATTTGTAAAGTAAAGCTGTTATGGTCAATGTATAAACAAATAGATGTCACCATTCTGGGAATTTAATAAAATTATTCCTAAAACACTGAAATTTGGATCCTAAATAACTTTACATGTCATAAACACTTATTACTCTTTTCTTTTTATTTATTTATTTATTTGAGAGAGAGAGAGAGAGTGTGGTGTGTGTGTATGTGGCCAGCTCAGCCCACCAGGGGGCGGGGCTGGCTGGCATGTGGTGCTGGGGGATTGAACCGTGGTCCCTGGGCTTTGCTAAGCTTGTTCTAAGTAGGTGCTTTAGACCACTGAGCCATCTCTCCAGCCCTATTCTTTTCTTTTCTTTCTTTCTTTTTTTTTTTTTCTGAAACAGGGTCTTGCTTTATAGTTCAACTTGGCCTTGAACTCACAGTAATCCTACTTCAGCCTCCTGAGTGCTGGGACTATAGGCACCACCATTCCCAGCTCCTATTATCTTCTTATACTTTAACTTTCCCTCCACCCATTACAACCTAGAAAATCCAATTTAATTTTTTTTTTTTTTTCAGAACCAGGGATTGGACTCAGGCCCTTGCACTTGCCAGGGAAGTGCTTATTCTGCTGAGCCATCTCCCTGGCCCCTAGAAAAATCCTTTTTGTGGTCCATACTTGCTGACTCCTGATATATTGGGACTTGGTGCTTCTGAAATAACTGTGTAGCTAAGGTTGTAAAATGAGGACTGGGGAAGTAGCTTAAAGAGCATTTGACTCGCATGGGTGAGGCCCTGTGTTCAGTCTCCAGCGCAAAAGATCATGGAATGAAAAAGAAGTTATTAGTAGTGACCGTTAATTGCCTATCTGCTGCTCACTTTTCCATGAATAGCTTTTGTAATTTTTCTATTTATTTTTGAGATAAGGTCTTGCTATGCTCTTGAACTTATTATGTAGCCCAGGCTAGTCTCTAACACAAACTGATCCTCCAGCCTCAGCTTCCTGAGCGCTGGGATTACAGGTGCGTACCACCATGCCCAGCTGTAATTTTTTTTCATGTTTGCTTTGTTTGCATTTATTTTTTCTTTATTTAGGGAAGGATCTACAGGGTTTACAGGGTCTCACTATATAGATTGGACTTGTAGTGATTCTTCTGTTTTCAGCCTCTGAAGCGCTGGGATTATAGGTGTGTGCGCGCAGCGCCACCATACCACCACACCCAGTGTCAGTCACCATCTCAGCTGCTGCATGGGTGGGGCTGGCACGCCGGGGATTGAATCCTGGCCTTTGTGATCTGCCTAAGCAGGTGCTTTAGTCCACTGAGCTATCAGGCTGGCCCCCTGAAATGTGATTTTTATGGGATTACTCTGATAATAAAAACAGTAGAGTGGGGAGGTTGAGGCAGGAGGATTGCTGCAAGTTTGAAAGCCTAGGCTTTCAAAGTGAGTTCAAGACCATTTTGCACTGCACAGTGAGTCCCTGTCTCAATTAAAAAAGAAGAAAGAAGAAGAAGAAGAAGAAAGAAGAAGAAGAAGAAGAAGAAGAAGAAGAAGAAGAAGAAGAAGAAGAAGAAGAAGAAGAAGAAGAAGAAGAGAGAAGAAAAAACAAACAGCAGGCCCGAGCTGGGTGCTGTGATAGCACACATTTGTAGGTGGGGTGGATGACTAGGGTTTTGTTGTGTCTTATTGTTTCTAGCGTCTATTTCCTCTTACATAAGTACTGCTCCATGATAGATTAGGGATGTAACGGGTTCCTCCCCACTGCTAGTTGGGAACCACTGGTGAAGGAGTTTCGGCATCCAAGACTGGGTGTGGTGGCGCACGCCTGTGATCCCAGCTCTGGGGAGGCTATAAAGAAGCGGATCACTACGAGTCTGATCTAGTAGTGAGACCCTAAACACCCTGTAGACCCTTCCCTAAAAAAAAAAAAAAAAGAAGTTTCTTCATCCAAAGGTGGCCCCCAAACTGAGGTGGGAGGGTGCTGTCAATGAAAGGTTCAGGTGAGCAGGAACAAGAGGCTCAGGTGTTGATTCATTCAACAAAGGCATGGGACTCTAAAGGCACCACCAGGGGGGCAGTCCCTTCCTAGTGGGATGAAAGCCTTAATCTGGAGAATGCTCCTTTAGGAGTTCCAGGCCAAGATCTGGTTCCCTCTCCCTCTCCTGCAGTCATGGAAAGGGCCCTGGTTATGTTTCTGTCCACAGCCCACTGGCTGTCTTTGGGTGAGTGAGTACTCATCTGTAAAACAGGGTGCCCAATTGGGCCTTGGGCCCCTCATCAGTAGGAGTTGAAATCCAGGCTTGGTGATGCATGCATGTAATCCCAGCACTCTAGGAGGATGAGACAGTAAGATCACAAGTTCAACACCAGCCTGGACAAATTAGTGATTTAACAAGAGTCTGTCTCAAAATATAAAACAGGGCTGGGAGTGTAGCTCAGTGCATAGGCCTGGGCTGAATCCTTGGTACCACAAAATAAACAAAAACATAAAATGAGATGGATTGAGCTAGTACAGATTCCAATACATGGCCTGGGTTCAGAATTTACCATGAGACCTGATGCCTTAGCCTTGTAGTCTGACAAATGGTTGCTATTAGCTCAGATTTCTGGGTTCCCAGAGAGTCTACTTCTTTTCTTTTCTTTTTTTTTTTTTTTTGTTGCAGAACCAGGGATTGAACTCAAGCCCTTCCACTTGCCAGGGAAGTACTTATTCCACTGAGCCATCTCCCTGGCTCCGAGACTCTATTTCTTGGGTCCTAAAATTCTGAGGTGTTTTGATTTTCCAAAAATTTAAAATGATCTGTTTCTGACATTCTTTGGCTCCAAGTGTCTTGGATCACTGGGGCGCTCTGCCAGGAGGCTCTATTTGCATGACCTTTGCCCCCTGATTCTCTCAATCTCTAGCTAGGGAAGTAGGGCAGTGGGAGGAGGGGCCAGCCACAGCCTCCTCATGGCCCACATTCAGGGCTGGCTATAGCAGCCCAGGGCCCCAGAGCCAGGCTGGAACCAGGATAGCAGCCTCCAAGCCCCAGGCCTGCGTCATCTGAGTGCCCTTGTCCAGGGTCACCAGGACAGGGACTGCAGGTGCCTTCCTAGGCAGACAGGGCCCCCTGAATCCGAAGGGCTGAGGGGGTAGGAGGTTGAAACCACTACTTTCTTTTTTTCATGTGTTCAGTACAGGGTCTACCAGGTCTCACCACACAGATTGGACTCCTAGTGATCCTCTTGTTTCCAGCCTCCCAAGTGCTGGGATTACAGGCGTGCCCCACCATGCCCAGTCTCATTCTCTGTCTCAGTGTGCCCCGGGGGTGGGGCCAGCATGGCAGGCCTGGGATGGCACTCCGTCCCCGCATCTGCCTAAGCAGGTGCTTTAATCTGCTGAGCTATCTGGACGGCCCTGAAACTACCACTTTCTGACCTAGCTCTGTCCCCCATGTCAAGACCTTGGGCAAGTCTCAAGCACTGGAGTTGTCTCCAACACCTACAGGGAGCTTAGTGGTGCTGGACACCCTTCACTCCTAGGGCTAGCCCTTTTCCTGCCTTTGTGGAAAGGCTACGGCAGGAATGGTGGAACAGGAAAGTGCAAACTGTCCCTGCTGGAATTAATCATCCTTTTACTAGCACAAAATAACATCAACCCAATTGCCCCAAAGCCTGAAAATAACTTAAGACACAGAGCAGGCAAGGTGGGTGTTCCCAGCTGGTGTCTGCGCCCCAAACTTCGAAGCAAATTCCTGAGGGGGCTGGGCGCTTCAACAGTCCAGGACGATCTTCTCCCTAGAGATGGGGTGAGCTGAACAGGTCTTGGGTCTGACGAGCGCCCTGTGGAGGTGAAGCAGTGTCCTGCGGTTTGCATCGAGATATCCGGCCTTCGCTCACTTTTCGAAGTAGGGCAGGTAGAAGAACTGGAAACCCCGGTGGCCCTTGACAGCGCAGTAGATGAAGATCACGTGGTAGACTGTGGGGGCGGGGCCTGTCAGCACAAGACCCCGCCCAGCCCTGCTCTCCCCACCCCTAGCCCGCGCGTACCTCCCGGGATCAGCAACAGGAAGCCCGGCACGAAGAAGATGGCACTGGAGACACCTGCTGGAGGGAGAGGTGGTTGCTCATGGTGGGAGGCCGCGAACCTCCTGGGCCAGACTCCCTCTCCGCTGTGAAAAGGGGTAGATTCCTTCTGGGAGGCAGCTGGGCTTTGCCAAGGGCCCGTGGACACAGGTGGGGGGCGCTCACCTGGAGAGGGGGCCACCTCCAGTCCCACGCCGACCAGGATCAGCACTGCACACAGATGGGACCGCGAGGGTGGGGGTGGGATGGGGGAGTGGGGGGGGGTGAAGACTCGAGTGGGCGAGGGCTGGGCCTTCCACCCTCAACCCCAGACAATGCCTGAGTAGCATTCTGCACCTTAGCTTAACAGCCCCTGAACAGAGGCCCGCCCTGCCCAGTGTTTTCTCAGCAGGGCACTTGGAGACCCTAAGGAATGTTTGTGAAAGGAGAAACTTTTCCTCCTTGGTATGGATTTAAGTCATTCAGTAAACACTTAGGGCCCCCTCCTGCAAGACTGGTATTAGGAATTCCATTGTGAAAAGCAGGTATGCCCAGGCCTCCTAGCTCTTCCTTAGAAGGACTGGAGAACCTAAAGGCTATAACCCAGGTGATCAACATGTGGTGGGGGAAAGGCAGGGCAGTGTGAGTCCAGAGGTGCTGCCCCAGTTAGTGTGAAGGACCCCTGCAAGAAGGCAGCGCAGAAAAGGCAGTACTAGCAAGAGCAATCAGAGCTGGTGCTGACTGCTTAACCAGCATGCCAGACAGTGGACTAATATGCAAGTTGCGTATACTTTTTTTTTTTTTTTTTTGTCTGTTTGAGACAGGGTCTCACTATGCAGTTCAGGCTGGCCTTGAGCTCACTTTGTAGCCCAGGCTGGTCTCGAACTCACAATGATCCTCTTGCCTCAGCTGCATACACTGTCTTATTAGTTACTCTGATAGGAGACAGGCATACAAGGAAACTGTGGCACAGACAGGAAGTCACTTTCCCAAGGCTGCCTGACTGCAGAAGCTTTGCTGTGGGTATCACCAGACAGACAGAATTCCAAACAAACAGCATGACAAAAGCCTGGAGGCTGGAAGGAACTGGGCCTCTAAAACCAGCACCTGCTAGATTGGACAGGAAGAACTCAGGCTGCAGGAATCTGGTATGGCCTGGACACCCCCACCCCACCCCCCAAGGATGGCTGATGTCAGAGAAGCTTAAGAGGTCACACAGGATCTGCTTTTCAGACCCAGACTCCTGGGTCCACAGTTACAGGAGAATAGGGGGAGGTGCAGCAAGGGGAGGCAGCCTGGGGCTTGAGGAGCCACCTTGGGCTGCTCTGTGCTTCATGTTTAGTAACGAGTACCTAGGAGAAAGGGACCCTAGCGCACCCCCTGACTAGGACTGTGGGTTCTGCCCTCTCAGAAGAGGCATTTTTCATTCCTACAAGGACCCTTATGGGCTCCTGGTAGCCCCCAGGCTCATGGCCCCCATGGATGTGGGATTAAATCCCAGCTCATCCACTTGCTAGTTGCAGCTTGAGCAAGCCCCTCCATCAGCACATGCCTATGTCCTTATTACAGAAGCTGGGATGGTATCACCTTGTTGGGTTGAAGAGCGAGACGGTAGCCAGTGCCATTGGTACTTGGCACACAGTGCTACTGGGAAGTGGTAGCTCCCCTGATCCTGTCACCTGCAGCTGGTGTGGGGCTTTCTGGCCTAGAGGCCTGGATGGCTGCAGGGTTTTGACTTTCCTGAAGATGGAAGGAGAAGGAAGAGGAGGAGGAGCTAGGGCAGAACTACAGCTAGTCCTTCCTTACATGCCACTCTTCACCACAATCCTAGATCCTTTCTGGGACCCTGCCTCCTCAGTTCCACAGAATGACGAGCCTGGCAGTCAGAAATATCTGGCTGTGAGACTGGCCTGCTCTAGCCCTCAGTGTTCCCATCTGAGCAATGGAGGAGGAAAGAAGTTCTGGTCAGCTCTCAAGACTCCAGAGAAAGGAATGACAGGCCTCTGGATGGGGCTGACAGGTGCTCAGCATCCCTGGTCACAGGGACAACCACATCTGCCTCCCTGCACAGGGTCTAGGCCCGTCTTTCACTTAGTGAGTGACCTCTGTAAGGCCAAAGTGGATGTAGAATAAATAGCAGTTACTCTTCAGTCCCCTCATGGATTAGGCATGTTAAGCTTTAAAGGAAGTCTTTAGAGCACTGGTCCAGATTCTATTTTTCTGGTCTGTGTTATTGGCTGGGTGACCAGGACTCTGGGCTTGTGTGTCTCAAGGCTTGAGTTCCTCACTTGTGATACAAGAATGCCCAGAGAGTCCCACTGAACCAGGGAGAAATGGCCTACACAGAAGGAGGAAGGGGAGCCAGGGCCCTCTGGGTACTCACCCAGCCCCAGAAGCAAGAGCAGGAAGGAGGCCAACACCACTCGGCAGTTCTTCTGGATTAGGGGGTGTTGGGTCCAGCTGGGTGGCAGGAGCGTAGGATGAGTTTGAAGAACGTGAAGGGAGGGGGTGGGAAAAGCCAGTAGTACTTGGAGTCTGGGACTCATTCTAAGAGGGTCTCACCTGCAGCAGGCATTGTAGGAGCGCTGTGTGGTGCCGCTGATGGTACTAAAAGACCACTGGGAGCTGCGGATGGATGTTCGGGCAGAGTCCCTGCAGGATAGAGCCCGGTAAGGGGCAGGAGAAAGCAAGGCAGGGGATCCCTTTGAGACAGGAGTCCTGAAGAAGTATCTGGGTTGGTGCAGGGTCTAGGGCTGCCCTACCCCCAGGACTGAGGGCTCTGAGAGGGGACAGGAAATGAGGATGAACTCAAAGGCTGGGAGTCTGCAGAACTAGTGGAGGAAAACTAGGATTGAAACCTAGGGATGCCTGCAGTGCAGATGACTTGTAGGGAGGCAGATGACTTGTAGGGAGGCGGCCAGGTCACACCAGGCTAAGGGTTTCTAGAGCATTAAGACTTGGGAGGGGTGGGTGAGACTAGGCACAAGAGGTGACGGCTGGATTGGAGACCTCATGATGGGTGTGGGGCTAGAAATCCTTACAGGACACAGCATGGGAGAACTGAATGCAACTGATAGTCCCTGTGAGCAGGCACTAAAGCTATGGAAGGGTACGGGATGGGTCCCCACCTGGCCCTGACCTGGTGCTGACTCCCCCATCTGGTTCCGGAGAAGGCTGGGCTACATCTTCATCATTTTGCAGGTTCTGTTCCAGAACACAGGGTTCAGAGGGGTGGCTGGCCTCAGGCCCTTCCTCACTCCCCCCTCGGGGAGAGAAGAAAAGCTATTTCTCAGGCCACCTGGCAGCTGCTCACCTGGCCCTCCACCCTCCTAGAAGAACGGGTTTGGTGATTCACAGAAACCGAAACCCAGGGAGGAAGTGGGTGGATGGTAGGGGAATTGGAGAGTAGGGGTCAGAAAGAGACCGTAGAGCGTTCCCTGCATGGTCCCAGGGGCAGGGATCTCTTCAGTTCAGAGGCTGACATTTCAGGGGCCCAGCAAAGTAGCTCTGGATTAGAGGTGGCAGGGAAAAGTACAGGATTCCCAGGTTTGGGACACAGGAATCTGGTCTGGGTCCCCAGGAAAAGGATTCTAGCAGTGGTGGATGCTCTCTGGGCAGATGTGGATTTCTTGTTCAGTGGGTGTCAAGGGACACGAGCAGAGTTGTCCTGTGAGTGGGAGCCTCCAAGTCAGAGAAGATGGGGGCTTCCAGAGTAGAGAAGGGGATCCTCTGCCTGGTTCTGATACAAAAGGGCTCTCCAAGTCCAGCGGAGATGAGGGCTTGGCCCTCTGGATGGTTAGGGGATCCAAGAGAGCTCGCCACTGGGGGATGACCTCCCAGGTCGGGCTCCCCATGCTGGCTGGATCCCAAAACCAAAGCTGACAGGGTCCGGGAAGGGCTCTGAATCAGGGGTCACGCCGAGGGCGGCCTCTCGCTCCCGCTGGGGCTTCCAGGCAGATTCTCCCCCCGCTGGGGTTCTCCAGAGCCCGGTCTAGGGCGGGAGTGCGGTGGGCGGGGCCCTTCACCTGATAGCGCAGCCGGGACTGCTTGTCTTCGTCGGCCGCCTCGAACCGGGGCCGGCGCTCGAAGTGCAGCGGCCCAAAGCGGGCGACACCGCTGGACTCAGGCCCAGGACCTGCGTCCTCCAGGGACAGCTCAAAGGCATCATCAATGCTGAACTGGGACCGGGCGGCGCTCATGGCCCCCGCCCGTTCAGGCGCCCTGCTCCGCCGCCATCTGCTCACTGCCGCGACCCCGCCCCCACGCGCAGGTCCCGCCTCCGTACCGACACCTCTGGAGCCCGACTGGTCGGTGCCCCGGCCGAAGCCCTGCCCCTCGCAATGGCCCCGCCCACGCCAGTCCTCTTCAGGCCAGAGCTGCCGAACACCGAGCCGACTGGCGGCGGGCCCACTTCTTGCCGGGAGCCCGCCAGGCCCGCGGCGCCGCCCAGCGGCGGCCTCAGCGAGCGACCGCTTGTGCTGCGCTCCGGCGGGATCCCTTAGGGCCCCTTGTGAGCTCACCGGCCGTGGAAGTTCCGGTAGCCCAGACCAGAAAGGCGGCGCTTGCTCCCAGCCTGCTTCTCCCGTGCCAAAGGAAGCTGCTGGGAACAGACGGTTCCCCGACCTCGCCAGGGTCCTGGGTGGGTGGAGTGGTTTGTGGGGTGTTTTTTTTTTTTTTTTTTTTTTTACCATGTAGCAGATTTGGAAACTAAGGCTGAGTAGACATGGCTTTCACTGTCCTCCGGTCTAGTCTCCGTGCAGCAATAATGTGGCCGAACGTCGTGGCTCACCCCTGTAATCCTATTGTAGACAG